AATCGAAAGAATTGAGAGAATCGAAAGAATTGAGAGAATCGAAAGAATTGAGAGAATCGAAAGAATTGAGAGAATCGAAAGAATTGAGAATCGAATGAGAGAATCAAAGGAACCGAGAGATCCAAAGGTATTGAAAAAACTGAGACTGAAGGAATCACCATAATTCAGATGAAACTCAAACCCCTCCCCATCACCTGTCCTCGACGACGCCCGTGATTGCGGCTCGATAGGTCATAATATTCTCTGCTGCCCATCGGTAAAAGATGATCCATTAGGAATTCACAACACGCCTCGATTTGGCTTTGCTCGTGGCCCCCTCTTTTTGGACAACCAAAGAAGGCATAGTCTTGCTGCCTCTAGAATATACAGATTCTGGTCACATCACCCAGGATTTCATGTGCATGTGCGGCGTGAGGCGCTGCCCAAAAAGGGAAGTGTTTTGAGAAGTGACATACTGGCTTAGTCACGCGGGCAGCACTCAGTCATACAAGCCAATAAAGTGGAAAGTCAGAGTCGTAATCTGGCGGCGCCGGACAGACTAATTCCTAGCGCCAGGCAAATACAACCTGCTTGGTCTGAAACATCAAATGCCATGATAGTGAATGTTGCCAAATTCAGACAAACATTTACCCACCAAGCCAAATATGATCTCACCGAACACCAAATATTAAACCCACCAATACAAATATGAAGCCACCAACACAAACATTAGATCCCACCAGTAAAGTACTGCATCACACCAGTAAAAGTAATACATCCCACCAGTAAAATTACATTCACCAGTAAAATTACATTCACCAGTAAAATTACATCCCATCAGTAAAATTACATCCCACCAGTAAAATTACATCCCACCAGTAAAATTACATCCCACCAGTAAAATTACATCCCACCAGTAAAATTACATCCCACCTGTAAAATTACATCCCACCAGTGGAATATCACGTCCCAGGAATACAATAAGATCCCACCAATACAAACCTTACATCCCACCAGTAAAAGTCTTACATCCCACCAATACAAACATAAACCCCACCGATCAAATTCCCAAGTACAGACCGGGCTTCCAAATCTCCACCACCACAACCACCAAGCACCAACTCCACTGCCATTTCATCCATCGCGCTTAAAATACGAGCAAGGCCCCCCAGAACTTTTAGTCTCCCGAAACTGCCCCAACACCCGTTGCCCCCATAATCCAAAACCCAACACTCGTGTGAAAACCTGGACCACCTTGTCACAGCAACTCGCGATGTTCTCGCCGATAACTCTAAACGGCGTTGCGGCGGGACCGGGGAGCCGAAAAAGAAATCCCAGCCCATATCGCCGCGTATCTCCAGAAGTCTCAACTGGTCGCCCACTCCGTCGCGCACGCGTCTACCTACTGGCGCCGTGCCGACGCACGCACGCCAAATAGGCTTCCGTGTGTGCTGTGTGCAGTGCGACGCGCTCCGTACGCATTCCTTGCCCGGCTATGTGCAGGCAGGCCGTGGCAGCGCGTTCCGCCCCTTGTCTGCTCTCCGCACAGAGCCCCAGCCATTCTTAAAGTCACCCGCGGCCCCGCCTTCCAGGCCCCTGCGATTTTTCTTCCCGAATCCGTCTTCAATTTATTTCCCCTCCTGCTTTCTTTTTTGCCTGGCCATTGTTCTCGATTTCAACTGCCCTCACTGGACGAGCCTTGCCCCACGCCTTTTTTTTTTTTTTGGAAACATCAGATCTTCGAAGGTCGTGATCCACGCGCCGCCAATCCATCCACGCGCCGTCAATCCATCTACGCGCCGCCAATCCATCTACGCGCCGCCACCGTTTTTCTCCTTTGGTTGCTGCAAATCCTCTGGGCCTCCCTTTGTTCAAGCAGCCGTGGCAGCCCCTCCCCCTCCCCCCAAAAAAAAAACGTGTCTGTTTCCAGCCTGGTCTGTTTGGTCCTCTCGACGCTGTTGTCTCGACCCTGAAAACGGAGACCCCCTGTGGCTGCAAATCCATCTGGAGCACAAAGCGAAACAGGTGGAATCTTTTCTGGACCCGCCACTCTGACCCGCAGGCTCGGTGCTTTGAAACCGCGCGTGCTTGCCGGGAGCTCCTTTTTTTTTCTGCCCGTGTCCCCTTCAAAACCACGACACTGCTCCGTCAAATGTCGCTGCTGGCCCACCGCTCGCAGGTGCTCGTGTCGCATCCACGTGACCTGTCCGACACGCCCCTCACCCGCGTCTCCGGCAGGATCTCCACGCCCCCACACTCGATTGCCGGCAAACGAACGCACGCGGACCTCGCCACCCCGGTCCGGGCGTGCGATGCGCCCGCAAAGGCCGTGTTGCTATCGCCGGCGTTCTCCTCGCCCCAGCCGCCCGAACAGCCCGTGTTCGACAAGGCCGACATGATGCACGCCGCATACATTGCGCCCACGGCCGCCATCGACTCGTCGTCGTTCCTCCACGCGGCCAAGGCCAGCAGGTCCTTCAGCGACGCCATCAGCGAGCCATTCAGCGAGTCGCTCTCGGAGACTTTCAGCGATGGCCACGTGGCGGAGCCTGTCCCCGTCTCGCAAGACGCGAGTGGCCACAAGAGGAAGAAGCCGAAGAAGGTGCGCCGCGAGCCGCGCGACGCATGCTTCTCCTTGGCTTCCTCCGAGAAACCGCCGTACTCGTACGCGACGCTCATTGGCATGGCCATTCTCTCGCACCCTGCCAAGCAACTCACCTTGTCGCAAATCTACCTGTGGATTTCGGAGACTTTCAAATACTACCGCCGCGAAGACGTGGGCTGGCAAAACCTGATCCGCCACAACCTCTCTCTCAACAAAGCATTTGTGAAAGGCGAGAAGTCCAAGGACGGCAAGGGCCATTTCTGGTGCATCGAGTCGAACTCAGAGGACTTGTTTCTCAAGGCCAAAAACAACAAGAAGAGCCTGTACCACGAGGTCATGGACCAGTTGGCCCTGGTCAACCGGCAGCCCCACGCCCTGATCCCCCTGTCGCCGCCATCGTTGGCGGATGACGACACACAGAAGTGCTTCGTCAATGAACAGCAAGGCATGAAATTGTTTGATAGCCCGAGGTCCATAGGCGCGACTCACGACGATGTTGACGGCGATGAAAGCAACAGATTTCCTAGTGCCACTATGCCCTGCTTAAGTACCCCTGGGCGTGCCGAGGGGGCCTCCGACCTTTCCGAGCATTCCTTGCTAGTCGGTAGAAGCTTGGGCTTCACGCTGAGCTTCAGCTGTAGCCTGAATTTCGAGCTTCTGCCTCTCCCAACGTTGCGCACCGGCCCTTTGCTTGAGCCTCTTTCTCCAGGGGGGAACGCGCTTTTGGCACAGAATCTAGGTCATTTGCTGGTTCATTTGCCCAACATCTCTGTGTCAAAATCTGGAGCACATCTCACGCAACTCCAACCACCCATGACTGGTACAAGTACTCCTAGAGCTGCTGGTACAGCTCGGACGACACCAAAGTCTAATATGAAGACACCTCTTCGATTGCTACGCACACCGATGAGCGGATCCATGATCCATAAGCTCGGATACTCGCCATCGTATCTTGAAGAGTTCAACCACTCGCCCTTCGCTGCTGGAAGAACCATGTTGAACTCGTACGACGATGACGACATGCTAATGAGAGCCTTTGACAGTCCGGCGGCAAGCAAGAGTTCCAAACCCAGTTTGCTTGGAGAGTTGACGAAGGCCACTTCGGAAGATGTCAACACGACAGACGCCTCGCAGAGCAAGAGATGAGCTATTCATGTGTGGGTGGTTTACTTGGGTATGAGGCAGGGTGCTTCTTTTGGTTCTTGTTATTTTCTGGTTCTATTCTTTCAATTTGGGACGAGCCTCAGACATTGGGGCCGGGCGTTCTCGTTTAACGCAGGCTCCGCTGGCTCGCATATATAATTCTTCTCTATTCCTGACATGTATTACTTAATTCGAAGCTTGTTTATAGCCCGCTAGTCGCTTGAGAAACAGCCTCTGCAGCCACACGTGACACAGCCGTCCTGGTTTCTGCCATCGACATCTGCTCGGGGGACTCGACAAATGCACGTTGTGCCGTGGTTTTTCTCGCTCACCACAATACAGCCCACACAGCACAAGTTTTCGTAGCCCTGTTTCTTCCATTTTGCGATCAAGTCGGCGTCGACATATTTTTGCCGTATAAGATAATCGTACAACTCCTTGGAGATGGCCTTGCGCTGGTAATACATACTATACACGTACCTGGAGATTTGGTGGTTTAGCTTAAGTATGGGCCATAACGACGAGTGTTTGTTGGCGGTCGAGCTTTGAAGCGACGTACTCTGGGCCTCTTTCAACTTAGCTAGTAGTTTGGTAAGTGTGGGCTCTACCTTCTCGTAATCCGCGGGCGGTTTCTTGGACCTCGGGGCCTTCGGCATTTTTTGGATGGAAATTGTGATTGTTTAGAGATGAGATGGAATGCCTTAGATAAGATCGAGATGCGCGCGATAAACGGCAGAGGAGCTATTCGCACAAGGAATGGGAACTGACTTTGAAATTGTAAAAGAGGTGGTATTCCTATTTTGGATTTTCGTAGAGTTTTGTGCTCATGCTGTTTGGCAGCACATTCTCTTTGACGGCTCTTGAGTTGCTCAAATAGATATCAGATATTTATATCGCGTTCTCATTGGTGCTTTCCGGTCTGCAGGGTTTCTTTTGATACTTTGTTTTATTCATAAACGAAAGTCAGAGAAAACAAAAAGCTTCTTTGTGATGTCCCTATATCATTTTCGACCATGGTTTTGGCGTTGCTATGCTTCCAGGAGACTGCTGAACTGCGCGGCGTGAATATCTGGTTTCTTTGGAACACGGTATAGAACATGAGACTGCGAGATGTGAGATTTTGATATTCTGTGTCCCTAGTGAAATCTTGAATGGAAACGAAGCTACTATTGGAGGATGTGTCAGAAAAACATGAAACATGGGCGGGATGAGGTCTGTGCTTCAAGGCGATTTTGCTTTTATTCGTCGAGATAGACAATATTGTAAGACACAGCATCTAAGCCAAATGGTGAAGATACTTAAAGCTCGACAGATTGAATATCAATCGATTGTACCTTTTCATCCCGACTACAGACAAAGAGGCCTTCAAAAAGTAAAAAGAAAAAAACAATGTTTATAAAAAATATCGACATCAGCAGGATTCGAACCTGCGCGGGAAATCCCAATGCATAAGCCCGAATTATTCGAGTGCATCGCCTTAACCACTCGGCCACA